GTAGTAAGATACACCAGGTATGTAATAAAACTGGCTGTATCACTGTAGTAAGATACATCAGGTATGTAATAAAACTGGCTGTATCACTGTCGTAAGATACACCAGGTAATTGATAAAACTGACTGTATCACTGTCGTAAGATACACCAGGTAATTGATAAAACTGTTTGTATCACTGTAGTAAGATACATCAGGTTTGTAATAAAACTGGCTGTATCACGGTAGTAAGATACACCAGGTATGTAATAAAACTGGCTGTATCACTGTAGTAAGATACATCAGGTTTGTAATAAAACTGGCTGTATCACTATAGTAAGGTACGTCAGGTATGTAATAAAACTGACTGTATCATTGCAGTAAGGTACGTCAGGTATGTAATAAAACTGGCTGTATCTTTGAATTTAAATTCACCAAGTTTGTAATAAATAATCTTTATCGCTGAAGTAAGATACAACGGATATGGCATACAAGGCAAAAATGAATATGATATAATTACAGTTGTATAGGAGTAATATGGAGATTAATGTAACCAAACGTTGACAATTATTGAAAATATCGAAAGTAGTTAATGAATTATATTAGTTACTTCTGAGGGTAGAATATAGTTGTATATCACTGTTTGTGAGTTCCACTTTGACTTACACTTGCATTTAAGAATAGATCGGAAGAAACCCATATTAAACGTTACGGGTGTCCCTCTTGTAAACATATGCTCTAAAAATGTTAAGGGTATATAAGAGGCATTGCAATAGGCCCTCAGGTTTTGTAAACCTTATACATGGTACGACTGAGTAAGTGACAAATCGGTGGACACTCCTTAAATTCGAACCTTTCTATTCCCCTAAAATGATGGATAGCGTGGCGGCATTGACGAATTGCTTAGCCAATGGTTGACTACGATCTAGCTATATCAGACCTAGCATAATCTTCCCAGTTGCCAATTGCACTGCTGAGTTTTGATCTGGTTGGAACAGCTGAACTGTCGACTAAGTAAGTTACATTGTCGAACACTTAGTGTCTTATGTATAACATTTCTCTCGTGAAATACTCGCGTTTGGTTTAGGTTGTGTATCGTTTTACGCCTCTATCCGCTATTTCGTTTTTTGGCCAATCAGCGATGACGATCATAAGAAGAGAATAGACCGAATTTTAACTAAAAGTTCATAAATATAAATAAGAAAACACATCAATAACAAACGAATTAGTTGTTTTAATCTATTACATATTTTAGTCAAATCAATTATACTCGATTAATAACATATTTATGACGCCGGACAGTAAGACTGATCCTTCTTTCGTAAATCGTAAGTGTCAGTCAAATGGAAATTAGATGCAAATAGCCAAATCAGATACTTCATCAGAGAAAAGAGCATGTGCAGCTGGATAGTATAAGGTTTTAATTCCAGTATATTTCATTTGATTTCATTTATGTTTTTATTTGTTTTAAGATCATGGCCGCACCATTGGGTCCATTCGGCCCTCCATTCGGCCCTCCAATCGGCCCTCCATTCGGCCCTCCAATCGGCCCTCCATTCGGCCCTCCAATTGGCCCTGCTCCAATCGGCCCAATCGGCCCAATCGGCCCTTTACCTTCAATTTTTTGGCCTTTGGTCGCGATAGGTACCTTCGGTCGTAAGTATAACTTTATGCATGTTACCTCCATGAGAGAGAGAGAGAGAGAGAGAGAGAGAGAGAGAGAGAGAGAGAGAGAGAGAGAGGTGTTTTTTTCGTGAAACAATTTACGATACAACATATCATTCAGACGGCTAAGGAGATCAGGGAAAGATGATAAAAATTATAAAAATTGAATTTTTTATTCAAACTCCGGGCAAATACATTTGGGTTTTAAAAGCTAACGGCTGGAAGGTATTTATAGATACCAGTCTAAACAAACATTAAAGTAGATAAATAGCCGTTTCCTTCATACTAAATTGAAATATCAGAACCTTATATGAGGTTTGAATTGATGGAAGTGTAACATTTCGTAGCCTGTTAATTAAGTTTATGGGCATTGTTTTTAAAAGTTTCTTCTTTTTTCTTCTTCTTTCTTTACCGTAAGTTTGTTTCTCAAACACTACAGTGTGGATCTCACTAAACCTTCGCATGAGTATTTGTGAGCATAGGTAGATGTGCAAGACACATTTGTTTTACCCATTGCGCATAAAGATGGCCGCCACACTCACTGATTTAAAAAAACCTTAAAACGGCCGCCGTTGTATTCAACACTTGTTATTGCATTCCTTAGCCGTTATTTGCAAAAAAAAGGAAGAACGTTTTTTTTCATTCATTGTTTTCAATTTCATAGATATCTTTATATAATGGATGCACATTTGTATGGTAAGCAGCTATATTCCCAGTGATCTTAATCATACAATAGAAGCATAATGTAATGTTGAGTCCTTCTGTCGCAAAGCGTTCCCGTATACACTTAAATACACGTACAGAATAAGACAATGTCATCATGTCACAGAGGGGTAGCGTAGAACCATATATCACCATGTCACAGCGAAGTAGCGTAGAACCATATATCACCATGTCACAGAGGGGTAGCGTAGAACCATATAGCACCATGTCACAGCAAGGTAGCGTAGAACCATATATCTCGTTGTCACAGCGAATTAGCGTAGAACCATATATCACCATGTCACAGAGGGGTAGCGTAGAACCATATATCTCGTTGTCACAGCAAGGTAGCGTAGAACCATATATCTCCATGTCACAGAAAGGTAGCTTAGAACCATATATCACCATGTCACAGCAACGTAGCGTAGACCCAGATATCACTATGTCACAGAAAGGTAGCTTAGAACCATATATCACTATGTCACAGAAAGGTAGATTAGAACCATATATCTCGTTTTCACAGCAAGGTAGCATAGAAACCAATATATCACCATGTCATAGAGGGGTAGCGTAGACCCATATATCTCCATGGCACAGAAAGGTAGCGTAGAACTATATATCACCATGTCGCAGCGAGGTAGCGTGGCACCATATATCTCCATGTCACAGAAAGGCAGCTTAGAACCATATATCTCGTTTTCACAGCAAGGTAGCGCGGAACCTTATATCACCATGTCACAAGAGGGAAGCGTAGAACCATATAGCCCCATGTCACAGAAAAGGAGCGTAGAACCATATAGCACCATGTCACAGAAAGGCAGCGTAGAACCATATAGCATCATGTCACAGCAAGGCAGCGTAGAACCATATGTCACTGATGTATCCATGTCACGGTAAATCTGTGTATATCCTAATACCTCCATGTCACGGTAAATCAGTGTACAGCCGTATATCTCTATGTCACGGTAAAGTAGTGCATATCCTAATATCTTCATGTCACTGTAAAGTAGTGTATATCCTTATATCTTCATGTCACGGTAAAGTAGTGCATATCCTAATATCTTCATGTCACGGTAAAGTAGCGTATATCCTAATATCTCCATGTCCCGGTAAAGTAGCGTATATCCTTATTAGCGTAGACCCAGATATCTCTATGTCACGGTAAAGTAGCGTATATCCTTATGTCTCCATGTCACGGTTAAGCAGTGTATATCCTAATACCGCCATGTCACGGTAAAGCAGTGTACATCCGTACATCTCTATGTCACGGTAAAGTAGCGTATATCCTTATATCTTCATGTCACGGTAAAGCAGCGTATATCCTTATATCTCTACGTCACGGTAAATCAGTGTACAGCCGTATATCTCTATGTCACGGTAAATCAGTGTATATCCTCATACCTCCATGTCTCGGTAAAGTAGTGTATATCATATCACCATGTCACAGCGAAGTAGCGTAGAACCATTTATCTCCATGTCGCAGAAAGGTAGCTTAGAAACATATATCACCTTGTGACAGCAAGGTAGCATAGAAACCATAGATCTCCATGTCACAGAAAGGCAGCGTAGAACCATATGTCACTGATGTATCCATGTCACGGTAAATTAGTGTACATCCGTATATCTCCATGTCACGTTAAATCAGTGTATATCCTCATCCCTCCATGTCCCGGTAAAGTAGTGTATATCCTTATGTCTCCATGTCGCGGTTAAGCAGTGTATATCCTAATATCTCTATGTCACGGTAAAACAGCGTATATCCTTATATCTCTACGTCACGGTAAATCAGTGTACAGCCGTATATCTTCATGTCACGGTTAAGCAGTGTATATCCGTATATCTCCATGTCACAGAAAGGCAGCGTAGAACCATATAGCACCATGTCACAGAAACGTAGCGTAGACCCAGATATCTCTATGTCACGGTAAAACAGCGTATATCCTTATGTCTCCATGTCACGGTAAATCTGTGTATATCCTAATACCGCCATGTCACGGTAAATCTGTGTATATCCTAATATCTCCATGTCACGGTAAATCAGTGTATATCCTAATACCGCCATGTCACGGTAAATCAGTGTACAGCCGTATATCTCTATGTCACGGTTACTTAGGGTATAGCCTTATATCTCTATGTAACGGTAAAGCAGCGTATATCCTTATGTCTCCATGTCACGGTAAATCTGTGTATATCCTAATATCTCCATGTCCCGGTAAAGTAGTGTATATCCTAATATCTCCATGTCACGGTAAATCAGTGTACAGCCGTATATCTCTATGTCACGGTAAAGTAGTGTATATCTAATATCTTCATGTCACGGTTAAGCAGTGTATATCCGTATATCTCCATGTCAGTAGAACCATATATCTCCGTGTCACAGAAAGGTAGCGTATCACCATGTCACAACAAGGTAGCGTAGAAACATATATCACCTTGTGACAGCAAGGTAGCGTGGAACCTTATATCACCATGTCATAGAGGGGTAGCGTAGAACAATATATCACCATGTCACAGCAAGGTAGCGTAGAACCATATAGCACCATGTCACAGCAAGGTAGCATAGAAACCATATATCTCCATGTCACAGCAAGGTAGCGTAGAACCATATGTCACTTATGTATCCATGTCACGGTAAAGCAGCGTATATCCTTATATCTCGATGTCACGGTAAAGTAGTGTATATCCTTATGTCTCCATGTCACGGTTAAGCAGTGTATATCCTTATGTCTCCATGTCACGGTAAAGTAGTGTATATCCTTATGTCTCCATGTCACGGTTAAGCAGTGTATATCCTTATGCAAGGTAGCATAGAAACCATATATCTCCATGTCACAGCAAGGTAGCGTAGAACCATATGTCACTTATGTATCCATGTCACGGTAAAGCAGCGTATATCCTTATATCTCGATGTCACGGTAAAGTAGTGTATATCCTTATGTCTCCATGTGACGGTAAAGTAGTGTATATCCTTATATCTCTATGTCACGGTAAAGCAGTTTATTTCTTGATATTTACATTCTGTGTTGCATTTGCCCATGTGTCGTTTGTAAACCAAATGCAAGTATATGAGACTTTTCATACATGGCCGTCAGATACTTTCGGTATCAATAGGCCTATAGTCAGAGAACTGTCTGGGTTCGTTAGCATTTAGCAATGTAGGTCATCGGAAAAAATAAATCAACTTGACAAGTTATGACAATACAAATTTATTATAAGATGTGTAGGTACCACAAATTTATTGTAAGCGCCATTCTAGATACGAAATTACCAAGTTTGTCAACGTCATCACACAGGGGCTCGATTTTGAGATTTTGAGTTACCTATGCATAACCTCAGTGAATAACCTCAACACTAAAATTCAGCATTTATTAAACCTTGTAAAAGTCGAGGGTATCGACAAGGTTTAAGAATGTGTATAAATACCTTTTTAAGTGTTATGGTTCTTCAGTGATGTCATCCATTACTCAAAATCACGAAACCGAGCCCCTGTGAACGTCGTCTGCTACAGTAGCGATGCTAATCTGACCGATTAGACATGGAATCTGTTTCAAACGAAATGTCCTTGGAATCGTTATAACCTACTGAAAGGACTACTTTAATAAAAAATAAAAAAATCCGATTATATATGCTTTTGAAAATAGCGTAATATTCCCGCAGTCGACGGAAACAATCAAGTTCGTTCAGCGTCGCTTCACTTTCAAATACATGTAATCTATCAATGCGCGAAAAACAACTTTAATTTTAAACAAGCAGAAGTTATGTGATTATTGAAAAAAAGTGTCAACATATACACGCTCATATTAAATAAATAATATTAAAGTGAAGTATGTGTTCAAACCATTTGATGTGCGTGTTGTTTGCAATGACACGAGGGACTATATTATTTCTTCTGAAAAATTCGGCTGTCTTACTGACGTCACTGATATGATAAGCGGGAAATTCAAACGTATTTTTGCTTCAGTTACTATACAAAACAAACTATATAAATGTAAATATAAGCATTGAACTGTTACCAGATGCAATATACAGTCGATATGAATGCAATTTGGGTGACAGATAAATAGAATATTTATCTGTCTCCATGTCATGGTAAAGCAGTGTATATCCTACCCACAATGCAGCAGGACAGGGATCCTTAAAAAGGAACTAAGAACATAAGAGAAAAGACATTAGGAAATTTCTTAAACATCTGCGGCAAAATGGGATACTTCGGGATCACCAAAAGAAAATATATACCGGTAAAACATATATATCATCAAATTAACTTGAGCAAGACATATATATATATATATATATATATATATATA